ATTATTATTATTATTATTATTATTGTTGTTGTTGTTGTTGTTATTATTATTATTATTGATTTCTGGCGTGTACACATTTATTTCCGGGTCCCGCCCACAGACCTAAGGTCAGAAATAGCATCATGACATTTTCCACTGAGCAATTACAAAAACAAAACAAAACCAAAAGCAAAAAAAAAAAAAACAGCAATACACTTATTTTATATAGGTAAAGACCTTCGTAAGGTGTGGGTTATATGGTGTGAACATTTTTTTTTTTGTATTTGTTTAAGCCACGGGCTTCTAGGAATCCCTTCAATGAATCTACTGGAATATTTCAACCAATCCGAGGGCTCCAACTACAACAGGGATTGTTAATGTTCCTATGTGCCATATTTTTGAGATTTGGATTTCAAGGTCCTTGTATTTTGATAGCTTTTTGAAGATTTATTATTATTATTATTATTATTATTCTTTGTGTATGTTACGTTTCCTACTTTGTATCCTTTAGAGCTGGGTCCAAACTATGGTCCTTAGGCTCTATAGGAGAATTGTCATTTAACTGATAGCACTTTATATATGGGATGTTCCTAGTAAGGCGATCTTCTGGACAACCTAATAAACCTTCTTCTTCTTCTTCCTCTTCTTCTTCTTCTTCTTCTTCTTCTTCTTCTTCTTCTTCTTATTTTTACTTGTTTATGACAATTGTGACTTAAATTATGCGTTTTCAATGCCTCGTAAATAATGGACAATTCCGTTTTGATCGCGAATAAAGTCGGAAAATACATATCAAAGACGCGGTTTGATTTCATTGAGAAAGAAAGAAAGAAAGAAAGAAAGAAAGAAAGAAAGAAAGAAAAAAGAAAAAGAAAACATGGGAATAACAATCATTTGATTAACATCTGCTACATTTAAATCACTCTGAGATTACATTAGATCACTCTCCGAATTACTTCGGAGGTGTGCTTGTCGAACTCTCTACCTTTGGGCAGAAAGGAACTCAGACGAGGCTATGCCAAAGGGCAAAGTCTCGTCTGGGGTGGTAGACAGCTACCCGAACCCGTTATTTACGGGGTCTACGGGGAATTTTTGCCCGAGCTTACGGGCTCGGATACCCCACAATAAACTCGGCTTTGTGCCACATCCGACCGCGTGGGGCGGTTAGTGAATATCATCTGCTACATTTAAATGGAAAAACTTGTCAATATCAGATCTTTTCATTTGTACTTCTTAAAAATGACCTATATACATATTTATGATTGTCATTGCTATATTTTGGTGCAGTTTTTAAGGTCAAACATTCTTCGATGAAACAGGAGAATATCTACGGGTATTTTATGGTCGTAGAATTCGCAAACAGCCCATTCAATTATTAAGAATTAAGATGAAAATTGAAAAACAGTGACATTTTCATGGATATTTCTTGCATAGTATTATTTGTTTTAAGATTTACATTCATTCTCTTCTTATTTATTTCCTTTCTAATCATTCCTCATATGATTCTGTTACTAGTAAAACGAAAATAATAAATGATTCAAGTATTTTCCGTTTGCGTTGTAATTCATATTTTCAATATTATTTTCATGATTCCAGAAAGCCTTGAATCTATTCAGACATTCGACCAGAAATTCGGCGATGTTCTCTCTGCTCTTATAAGGATGGGTTTGCTTCCTGGCAATCATTTCTATCAATTTTAAAACCAATTCCACACTTCAATCTACAATCCTATGGTGGCTTCTTATATTAACTTTAGCGGCATTGGCTATGAATGGGAAATGAGTAGTAGTATAAGTTATCAGAAAAGCAAAGAGTTTGAAACGGGGAAGAAACATATTGAAATAATGAAAAAAAATTATCACGGGGTCGCAAAGCATCTTTATAGGCCTACTTGTAGTAATATCAGGCATAGCGTTTTGTCTTAGTTTTAGGTGAGAGAAGCAATAAGCATTGAAATATGAAAAAAAAAAAATTTTCCATTCCTTTTTTATTTAATTCTAGTTGCCTATCGTTGACTCATCGACGTAGTTTATAAATGATAGCAGAAACCATGGACGAAGTTATATGCTTATCACACAGTAGATACTCAGTTCTAAGTGGAAAGTCAAGCAAAGATACTCCAGATAATTCAAGGGTAGAATTGGAAGAGAATTTACGAGCAAAGCATTCTGATTTATCAGCAGAAGATTATAACACCTGAAATTGAATGTAGCAAGAAGAGACGGACGATTTACCCTTCATTAACACACTGATTCTGCGAATTAGATATTGCGTGGTGAGACAATCATACTTCCCAGGGGCAAAACGTAGGAGTTGGCTAACAGATAACGTTTGAAAATCTCTTGGGAATAAAAATTGTTGTTTAACTCAAGTGATTAATTTGTCATGGTAGGGTAAAAAATGATTAAGCTAATCAAGGAATGACATGGCGGAATCATCTGTTAGTGTCTTCTGTTAACGTATAAGAATGTTGATAGTTGAGAAGAGGGAAAGCACAAAAAGATGTGGGTCCTCCTCTTACAAGAGGTTTAGTAGATATTTCATTACTTATAAAGTTGAAAGTACTTTACATAGTTCTGTCTTAATTCAGAAATGTATGGAAAGTAAAGTACATTATTTATATGCTGTCAGTTGCATAACAACTTTGTTGTTGTTGTTGTTATCAAAACGTTTCGGCCGTGATTTCTTCCAATCTTCATCAGGTGTATGTCGATCCGTGTAACCTACAGGAAGTTGCAAACTGAAACCGTTATTTAATCTACGGGGGGGCGGTAGATTGTTCACTGCCCATGTCTAGAAATATCTTGTCTACTTCTTACTTTTGTGCTGCTCAATTATTGCTCACTGAGTTCAAGTACACTGCTCGGTCCGGAGATTGAACTTGCAAATACAATGTCACCAAATTCACGAGCCACGGGAAAATAGCCTCGTAGATTCAAGCGTTGGTTAGCTTAGATTCATTTCGAGGGAGAGTGAAAAGTAGGAACGGGAAACTACTTCAGTTATTTTCTATATACCTTTTGTTTGTTTGTGTTCATTATTTGAAAAGTCTACTTTACAAATTGGTGTTTGGATGCACATTTAATAGACTTATTTTAAATTTGTCTACAATAACAATGACCATATCTGGAGGAGTGTCGCAAAATTTTAAGTGGTACTGTATATATATATATATATATATATACAGGATGGGATGGGTAAATTTTCGCCATTTTATATTTTTAATTTCCTGCATGCGTTTTTTTTTTTTTTTTTTTTACTTTGTCGACTGCATAATATAGTAGGGTCAGTTGGGAATCGTCTGTGAGAAGAAGAGCACCATGACGCAATTGACTTCGCCAGAAATTTGGAAACAGCTTGCTGTACTGCTTGGTATTCGCACCAAGAGCTACAATACGAACATTTCAAAGTGTTTGGGTGATAATCTGAGGACAATGCAGTGAATTCTGAAAGAGATGGGTGAGTCTAATGTTGATTACGAAGGTGTTTGAAGTGATCACTACTGATGGGGACTCCTTTCATCTTCCCACATTGCCGGGCCTCAGATTCAACACGGGGCGGGGGGGTCTATATCAAGTGCCTAGAGAGAGGTAGTCCTGCCATAAGCTAAGAGGCTGGTTGCTGGAAGACTCTGTGTCTGGTAACAGGACTGCATCACAAAAGGAGAAGACAATCATGGCTGTCACACAATTTCTGCGAGCACATCAGACCTTAAATCTGGCCACCTAACTCCTCAGACTGCAACCTGTTTTATTATTATGTGGGCGCAGTTGAGCGAGAGACCAACCAAACTCCTTGTAACATCACGGATGAACTGAAGGTAAGGATTATGGCAACATTCACCAACATAAACAGGGAGATCGTCTAGAAGAGTTGCAGGAGATTCCGAAGTCTTCTGGAGGTCAGAGGTTGAATCCAATGGCGACTTGATTGAATAAATTTACTCTTTAGTTATTCAAGATCTTTTTGTGCAATTTTGATAAATATAGCTGTTAAAATGAGATAGTGTTATTATCATTTTTTGTAATTTAGACGAAAATTTATCCATCGCACTCTCTCTCTCTCTCTCTGTATGTGTGTGTCTCTCTCTATATATATATATATATATATATATATATATATATATATATATATATATATATATATATATATATATATATATATATATATATGCAAGTCTTGTGAGTAAAACTGCATTGACGCAACTGTAGAATTGGGTAAAAGTCACAAGTCATCGTGACCGAGGATTTGAGTGTACTGGCCTTATTCAATTGCTGATGCGCTCTCTCCAAGAAGCTGCAACTAATGTCAGTTCTGTCAGGTGGGTGCGGTAGATAAAGAATATAGGCATATATATATATATATATATATATATATATATATATATATATGCAGTAATGGATAATATATATATATATATATATATATATATATATATATATATATATATATATATATAACAATTGATTTGAAAATCCAAAGAATTGGTTTGAAAATTGGCCTGAAAAGGAAGAGTGAAGCTTAAAGTTAACATGCAGTCCTGATTGCTATGTCCACACTCTATATGTATGTCTACATGTTTTTCTTCAATGTTCTAGAGTATAAAGTTGCATTTATGTATATAAAAGATTAAACACACAGACACAACCCTCCACACAATTATATATATATATATATATATATATATATATATATATATATACCAGAACATGGTATGATTATATATTTCATCAATGAATGAATTTTGTTCAAGGTTTCGTTGAGCAATTTATTAAGCGATTGCAATGAAGAATATTTGCGCAGAATGAAACGCGCCAAAACATCAAGCACAACGTGTCCTTCGACAAGAAAAAAAATCACCACCGCCAAAACCACTAGGGCCGCCATCACCATCAAAATATATAACAGCAGCAGCAGCAGCAGCAGTAACAACAACTGCACAAGTAAGGCTTCACAAATGGACTGGGATCAAATAAACTTAATTGATGCCTGTTTCTCAAAATGGGGACTGATTAAGGCTTCAG